AAAAAAAAAAAAAAAAAAAAAAAAAAAAAAAAAAAATGGCTGGAGTAAAATTACTACTGTAGGATGCTGGAAACACGTGAACAAATCGGTTGTGCTTATCCTAACTGTTCGGGTATTTCTAAATTTTGATTTAGCCACACATTCTCTTTATTGTTATGTATGGCGAATTTTAGTCCCATTACTATACAAATAGAAATCGAGCAAAACTACCTGCACGCGCTTGGTTCCACTACCTTAAACTTCATCACTGTCCACTATAGCCGCTTACAGCTCCAAACAAAGTTAGAGCTTGAAACATTCCCGTTTCGCTGATCAATTTATATATGTGTATAATCTGTACATAAAACTGACTAATTTATATTTACAACTTATATATATATATATATATATGCAATTTCATTAGAATCTCGTTAGAACTTGTCTCACTGCAATTCTGTTAGAATTTGTTTGGCTCGACGGTAGACAAGGGCTCCTAGTTGAACTGCGCTTGGTGTTTTGTAATCAAGCAAATACTCAACTTCTGCACGAGCATGCTCTGAATCAATTGTCGGAAAAGGTTGGTTTCAGCCAAAAGGTTCGTTCAGAAGGAGGAGAAAATATCTGACACACCGCTTATATGATTTGTACCACTCGAACTCCTCCAGAAAGCATTAACAAGTGCAGTATTGTGCCTGTTTTAACTAAAAAACGGTCTTTCTTTGTATAACAGCATTTTTTTTAATAACCTTTACTGCTTCAACAACCCTTGTTGCACATCGCAGCTTCGCTGACATATTTTGACCGGGCACTGTGGACGGAATTTCCCTCCTAAAAAAAAGGAAATTTCTGTGGTTATCCAAGCTGCTGAGAATGATTAATAGACCTAAAATTTTTTGTTTTGCTGAACAGCTACAAGTGTTATTGCCTCCGAAGAACGTGGAACTGGATTCTAACACTGGAAACTGGAAACGCTCTTGAATTTCGCTCACCACATAGCAATGGCTCAACAGATGGCACTCCGCAAACGGCGATATCCCACCGATAACGCTGCCGCAAAGATGTGCCTTTTTCTTGGAATTAAAGACTGAAGATGATGGCTCAACCCGCGGCACGCTAGGTAACAATTTGCAGTTGCAAGGGATCGAATGAGCACGATGAAGCTCGGTGCTCCATCAACCAGTTCGAACCAATGGCTTCAGTTCACGACAGAGCGTCTGTTACGATAAAATAATGAGCCGGACAAAGTTCATGTTTCTCGAGGAGAGGTGTAAAGCAAAATTACTTCAGATTCGGATTGCATGTCCACAACAAAAGAACGATCGCTCGATAAAATGTTTCGGTGTCCAACTCTGTTACAGTGCCTGGCACCTCCGGCAAACCATCAAAGAAGCTTCTGAAATACTGTTATACCAATCAAATGCACAGTATAAATTTTAGGACAATGCTTTTTTCCTGCTTTTATTCACGGCGTGCAATCATTCGAACAAGCATGGCGCAAACCAAAGGCGCATCTTGGCGTTCTTCGGCCATCCTAACAGCAGCACTGCAGGGCCACAACACTGGCCAGCAAACAAACCGCTCAGCTGTTATTATAGCCTTTAGTATACACGAAAACACTGGATGTTTACAGAACAGAAAGTAAAATAACAACGATAAAAGCCATGAAAGGTGAGACGAACGGGTCAAGACGAAGCAGCGTATCGATGATCTGACCGTCCACGACATCCATGCTCAATAAAGACACGATACACAGTGAACGATCGATGTTTCGTCCAATTCTGCAGCAACCGATCACATCCTGTCAAAATGCATCGAAACTGTAGCGAGA